AACAACAACAACAACAACATCTTTATGGAAACCGCTTGCTACATCTTTCTCTCAGAGTAGCTGATGGGTCTGAACTGCCGACCTTGCTGTTTCCAGCCCAAAGCTCAACACACTGCACCGCCAGGGATCCTTTGTTCTGGGAAGGCATAGGCTCTTTGGGGTAAAGGGGTTTGATGTCTGCAACATCTCTTGATGAATGGGGAAGGCAGTTTAAAAAAACAATAAAGAAGAGAAAACTGTTTAAAAAGAAAACAAGAAATCCATCTCTTGAAAGAGAGATGGAGAGAGAGTCCTTGAGGCAAATGCTAAATGAGTGAGCCCAGGTGCATATGGGGTGTCTTGAGCCCTGGAGTAGTAGCACTGTGGGTTAGTGTGCTGAACGGCAAAGTCAGTTTAGACCGAAGGTCAAGTTCACCAGCCATTCCCCTGAAACCCTATACAGGGTTGTTATGGGTTGGAACTTAAAAAAACAACATATGAGGCAGCTTCAAAAAGTTGGTAGAAGAAATGGTATTAAGAGATAATGAATGGAATTTTTCCAGGAACTTTTTGACCCCGTCCCCAACATACTGTTCTTGCAGATGCTCTACATACTTGCAATTTTTCAAACAAAAATGTCAAAACAATTTATTTTAAAAAGAATCACTTGTACACTTTTTGAAAGACACGGCAAAAAAAATGACCATAGAGAAGGTTGCTGGAGACCCCGGGCTGGGACGGGGGGATCCTCTGAGTGCCTAGATTGTGGGAGAAAGTATGGGGCTGGGGGAGGGCAAAGTGTCTCTGGAGATGGGGAGAGGCTTCAGGCAGCAGGTGTTCATCCAGCTGCAGGAAATATTTCAATGTCTTGACCATTGATCTGGCTGTAAGATGAATCCCAACTGAATACCAGTGTTTCCTTCAGGGCCTGGGTCTGGTGTGTCAATGTGTGAAGGCGGGGCATTGCGGAATGGTGGAGACTGTGGAGAGAGGTGTCTGTCCTGAGCTGAGTGGACATCAGCTGGTGGGCACCAGGGTGGATGGATGGACTAAAACAGTTGACCATACTTTTCTTTGTAGAAGTCAGAACTTGAGATTGTAATGTGAAATCTGATTTTAAAAAAATGTTGGCGTCTCATTCAAATAAAAAACAGAACAAAACAAAGCAAAAACCCCCAACATTCTTCGGGCCAAATACAACACATATAAGAGCTGGATTCAGTTCCCAAGCTGTCATTTCAACCATGCGTTCCAAATGGCAAAGGTTACCAGAGCCCTACCACTTTCCAGCCCATGCCCCCAGCAGACGTCACTAATCCATCCCAGCTCTGCTTCCCACGGAGCATGTACCCGGTCCCCACCCATCGTCTCGGGCTGAGTATCGGCTCTCCAAAAAACACACAGGAAGGGCTCTCAGGCAGAATCCATTCAGCCACCTTCCAAATAGTCCCCTGGTGAAAAGCTGGGTTCCAGTAATACTACAAGTGGGGAGATGCTTTCTGGTTTGGCTCTGGTCAAGAGGAGTTTGCCAGCAGGGACTGAGGATGCTGGCAAAACTCTGGAGGGAGAGGGTGGACTTTGTGAGGTCAGGGTCAGCTCTGTAAAGAGGGTTCAGTTGTAGAATTCTCGCCTCCCGTGTGGGAGACCCAGGTACACCTCATGTACGGACACCTGACCGTGGAAGCTTGCATGTTTCCAAACAGGTTCCAGTACAGCTTCCAGATAAAGAGGCACTAGGAAGAAAGGTCTGGTGAACTCTTTGTGACACGCAGCCAATGAAAGCCTTACGGTTCCATCCATAACTGATTGTGGGGATGGCATAGGATGGAGCAGCATTTTGCTCTGTTGTGCACGAGGGGACCAACTCGAGGGCAGCTTACAACAACAACATTTGCCATCCTCTAAGTGGTTGTTGTGGAGTCCTGGTGTGGCGCTGTGGGTTAATGCGCCAGACTGCAAAGCCATTTGAACTGCAAGGCCGGTGGTTCAAGCTCACCAGCCGCTCCTTGGAAACCCTATACAGGGTCGTTATGGGTCGGAACTGACTCGACGGCACTTCACAACAACAACAACAAGCAAGCCTGTAAGATGGAGTAGAACTGCCCTCATTGGGTTCAAGACTTTCTCCCAGCTGATGAGTGGGTTCGAACCACCAACCTCTCAGTTAGCAGCTGAGCGTTTAACTGCCACATCACTAGGACTTGCTAGCATCTAAATGTTTTCACTGAATCAACATCTGCCTGTCTGTGGAACCCCATACCCGAATCCTAGCTCCCCTGTGCTTGTCTGGGCCAAGCAAATTGATGTAGGAAGATTCGGATCCAGCCCTTGTTCTGAGCTCAGGAGGAAGAGGCTGGAAACTGGGTAGGGCCTGGGCTGTAGGCCCCCTACCAGAATAACGTTTCACTCACTTGGTACTTCTTACAGCTGGGAAATGTCTGCAATTCCTCCCTGGAGTCAGATTGGGCGGGCGGGCTGAGTCACTGGGCGTGGGGCTACCTTCCCAGTCACTGGGCAGTAAAAGACCAGCGAAGATGGCCCCTCCCTGAGTTCAACCTCTTTCCACCCCAGTAGCTCCACATGTCAGCTTTCCAAGACTGCCATTCCCAGGACACCAGGGATGAAGGGAATTCCCGGGCAGGGACCCAGAGGACTGGGCAGCTATCCCAGTCTGCCCTGCCCTGGCCCTGGGCACGTTCCTACCTGGTGTGTGGCCTCAGTTTCCTCAAATGTCAGAGGTAGATTCCAGGGTACTTCCAGCTTGAGAGCTTTTGCTTAGGATCAAGAAAGGAATTCCAGAGTGTTTGTTTGTTTGTTGGGTGAAGGATGTGGGTGGTCAGAATGGGGCGGCTCAGAGAAGTGGACCAGAGCTGGGGAGGACAAAGGTGGGGTCGTCAGTCTGGATGGGGCTTATCAGAGGGTCCATTTGTGCTGGGGCTTGGAGACAGGAGGGGCCCTGGCCTTGAACAGAGGCTGCAGGGTGGCCTCAACTGGGCACAGCTCATGGGGCACATGACCTCAGGGTCTATTTTGGAGCCGGCATTTCTGAGCCTCCTGGCAGAGCTTAGTGGGAGGGCAGACTTGACCTCCCCGTTCCTAAGAGAAGGGATGAAACTGGTCTTTTCAAGGTTCGCCCAGGAGGAAACCCTGAGGGTGTCTGGACGAGAGGGTCCCGGTGACCATGCGTCCAGCAAAAAAAAAAAAAAAAAAAAAAAAAAATTAAAACTTCCTGCCATGGAATTGATTCTGACTGATAGTAAGTAACCCACTGTAGGGTTCCTGAGGCAGCCAATGTTTACTGAGAACAGAAAGCTTCATCTTTCTCCCAGGGAGCAGCTGGTAAGTTTGAAGGGCCAACCTCGTGTTTAGCAGTCCAGTGCTTATCCTACATTGATATCAGCACTTCTTATACAACCGAGCAGAAGCCCTGCAGCCCACAGGCTGCCCAGAGCCCCAAGATAGGCTGTGATCGATGCTGAGCTGGGCCCCACACCTGTCCCAACAGACCGGGTCTGCAGAACCATTTGGTGACACTTGCCTTGTTCCTGCCGGGGGAGTGGGCCTCCCAGGAGCAATTTCCGGACATCACCAGGCCTGGGGGGGGTCCAACTTCCTCGACGATCCGCTCAGCCACAGCCTGAACACCTGCCTTATAAAGGCCACAGAAAAGGTCACATCAGGACCGAACTGTCCCCTCCCAGAGAGATGTTTCTGCCCCTTGTCTGGAAGCTCTCACCTCCGTGCCCCACCCTGGGGGCCCAGGGACTTTCTGGGTCTATGGTGGCAACTCCTCACGCTGGAGTTCAGGCTGTGTTCCCCAGTGGGGATGCTGACAAGCAGTCACACCTGGGGTCACTGCCTCCTTCTGCCTGTGGGTCACATTGTTCTGACCCTTACTGCCACCTGAACCCCAAATGTGGATCCTACTTGGTCAGGGCGATCTACAGAGCCAGACAGCTTCTGGAGAAGCACTTTTATCCCCCAGCCCCAACCCCCTGCCCATTTTGCATTTCCCTAGTGCCTCCTTTGTATCCTCCCTATAGTGTGATGGGATGCTCATGTCCATTGGTGGGGGAGACTCCCTGGATGAGAGGGTCGAGGATCGGGGCTCATGTTGTACCATGAGAGCTCTGCTGGAAGGTGCAATAGCCCCTCATCAGCGTCATTGTCACGACTGTCAAATCCCACCTTCTGAGTGTCACCTGTGCCTGGTTCCAGGTGACCACACCCATTGTCCTATCTGGTCCTCATTATCATGAGTTCCCTTTGGTGGGAGCTCCAGGTGTGGGGAGGTCAGGATCTGAACCTAGCAAAGACTCAACTCTTAGGGGCAGCGGTGACTCGGTGATGGAATTTGTCTCCTACATGGAGACCCGGGTTTAATTCCTGGCCAAGTCACCTCCTTGAAGGCACCACCTGTCTGTTGGTGGAGGCTTGAGTGTTGCTACGATGCTAACGGGTTTCAGTGGAGCTTCCAGACTAAGACTAGGAAGAAAGGCCTGGCTATTGATTTCTGAAAACCAGCCATTGAACCAGATGGATCACAAGAGTGTGATCTGCAACTGGTACTGGATCCTGCAGAGGTTCATTCCCGTGTGCATGGAGTGTGTGCCAAGGGGTCAAGAACGGAGCCCCAGTGCCGAGGGGCTGGCGGGAGCAGACAGACTCATTTAGGAGTAGCCTGTGGACTCCAAGGGAAAAGGAGGTCTAAGAGAGGGACGTGGCTGCAGGAGGCTGGTCGTGGCCCCCCAACATGAGCTCTAGACCCGCAGACAGGGAAACTCAGGCTGTGAACAGAGTAGGGCTCTGCCGTGGCCATAGCTCGGGACCTAAGCTACCCGGTCCCTCTGCCATAAGTGTAGATGAGCTTCCGGCTCCGCTCGGTTGTTGTTGTTAAGTGCCGTCGAGTCGATGCCGACCCATAGCGGCTCCACTACCCCCAAATTCCTGCCTTGGCGCGCGCGCGTCCGCCACCTCGAACGGCCCGCCCCGGGGCGGCGCCCTAGCCCTTCATTGGCTGAAAAGAGTGGCTGTTCCGCCCCCTCGTTAACCCTGGGCTTCCCGGAGATGGGCTTCCGGGGATAGGGGGTATTTGTGTGGTTGGACGGGGTCCTACGTCTTCCTGGCCCTAGGGCGACTCAAAGTTGGGGTGAGGGTGGGGGCGGTGCCCAGGGTAGCCACGCGGGCTTGGGAGTCTCTGGCGTGTGGGCAGCCGCGTGCTTGCAGACAGCAGATGTCACAAACTGTCTCCTTAGCTGCCTGCCATCGTCTCCCTTTGACTCTCCTTGGGCCATTGTCCCATTGCCACTAAGAGTCCCAAACCCAAACCTGATGCTTTCCAGTCGATTCCGACTCATGACCCTGTGTTCTGAGTAAAATTGCTCAAGGTTGTGACCTTTTGGAAGAGTTAGCCAGGCCTCTCTGCAGAGGCACTTCTGTTGTTGACGTGCCATTGAGTTGATTACGGCTCATAGAGATCTGCAACTATCAATCTGCTGGAGCAGAAAGCCTCTTCTTCCTCCTAAGGAGCGTCTGATGGGCTCGAACCACCAATCTGACGTTGGTTCAGCACCACACCAGGACTCTGGGAGGCACTTCTAGGTAGGTTCCACCTGGTACTAGTCCAGAGCTTAACCATACCACCTTAGAGCTCCTGCCCCATCGTCACAGGCCTTATGTTTCTCCCACTCTGGGGGAACCCCTAAACCTTCCCTTTTGCCCCTCATCTTTCCTGGTCCCCAATGCACAGACTTCACTTGATTGATTCAGAGGAGCTCCCGCAGAGCTTTCTTCACAGTTAGACTTGACCCCTCCCTCCCAATTATGTAGATTCAGCTGTGTGTGTGTGTGTATGTGTGTGTGTGTGTGTGGGGGGGGGCTGCCAGTCTGTTGGGGGGGCTGGACGGACTGACGTGCTCCCAGAGAGCTGATTTCCTGTGGAGGTGTGTGTTTCCCCTTTGTCCTATGCTGTAGGCACTATCTGAAAAGCCAGCTCACTCCATTACTCTGTACTGAAAAGATCTGGGCCCCAGATGGGATGTATGCAAAGAGGTGTGTGTGTCGTGTGTGTGTGTGTGTGTGTGTGTGTGTGTGTGTGTGTGTGTGTCATGTGTGAGTGAGGGTGTGCCCCTCAGGGTGGGAGCGTAACAGCTTCTACTAAGACTGGAAAATGTGCTACCCATTCAGTTTACCGGACCCTTCCCTTCAAATCCAAGTCCAGGGGGCTCCTGGTCACCTGTCTTCCACCTGCTCTTGCATCTACCTCTGTCCTGACCCCTCTTCATATCCTGACTCCCAAGACCCTTCTCTGGGGCTCAGGTGAGGCTGTCCTTCAGAGGACCCAGGTGGACCCTGTCAGACACCAGCTCAGGCAGTGGTTCCGGTCACTGTCCCCACTTCCCCTGTCCCCGGGGGCCCGAGAACCCTGGCTTTCCAGAGGACTCATATCCAGCCCCCATTGCTTCCCTCAGATACTGAGGAAGCCTGGGGTTCCCCACTTGGGGTCCTCCTCAATCTTGCACTCACACTTGAATTTGTAGAGGGTTATCTGGAGAGGAGAGTAGGACCTTCTAGAATGTCCCCCCCACAACCTCCATCCAGTGTGACATCAGGCACCCTCAGCCTGGGAGAAAATGGGACCAGAGCTGCCCATACCTTGCAGCTGCTGGAGCTGGTCCCCCAGTGTCCTCCAGCAGTGCTCAGGACTGGTGGATGGAGGGGTGCAGGCGGCTTGCGTGAGAGCTGTGGGGAGACACTCCCCAGTCTGGGCCTCTGCCCGTTGGGTGTTCCCTTCTAGCTTTCCCCAAGACAGCAGCCTGGACAGTGGGCCAGGCTGGGGGAGGGCAGGGTAACCCCCATCCTAACAGGGACACCCACAAAGCCCTGGAAAGTGGGGACAGCTTGCAACTGGGGCAAGAAGCTGGGAGGCAGTAGAGGAGGTTCTCAGTGTCCCCATTATTCCTGAGAAAGCTGGAACCTCAGGAGCTGATGACAGCTCTACTCTGGGGTCTCCAGACTCACTGCTCAGAGCCCCACATTTCCGGGGATTGCCTGTCCCAAAGATGCCGGCGGCCTCTCTGCCCTGAAGGTGCCCCTCCAGAGTGCCCTGCCTGGCCTTGGTCCTGCAACTGGGCCCTCAGAAACCCTCCCTGCTAGCTGGGCCCCAAGGTTACCTGCGCCTGTCTTCCTCTTTATGGGGTCCTCCTGGGTCTCCCGCCAATGACCAGCTAACCCTCCAGGGCAGGAGGCAAGCAGCACGCCGGAGCCTAGAAACCACTCGGAGCTGGACAGGATGGACAGGAGGAGACGGCTTCACCCGCCCCAAACCCAATTCCAGGCCGGGCAGGAGGGGCGGGGAGGGGAGGAGGAGGGGCGGAGCAGCATGAAGCTTCAGGAAGGAATGCCCCCCCACCCCCCAGCCCCACGGGGAGCTCAACTCTCTGCCTGGTGACGTCACGTTGGCCGGAGCACTGTGGCCCGAGTCCAGCTGTGCAATCGCACCCCACGGCTCAGCCAGGTTGCGCGGAAAAGGGGCGCGCTTGTGCCTTAGGTCCGCTCCAGAGGAAGGGGCGGGGGAGGGGCATGCCAGGCGTGCAGGCCCAGGCGGGGCCAGCACCCAGACGCAGAGAACTGGGAGCAGTGAGGGGCTGCGGGTACTTGTGAGTGGAACAGGCAGAAAGAAGGCCCTGCCACCTGGAGGGCACTTCGATTACCCCGCCCCGGAATCTGCAGGGGCCACTGAAGGCTATGGGACCAGGAATCCTACCCCCTCCAGCCCTAATAGTAATCAGATGGCCTGAGTTGAAAACCACAGCGCGCTGGGCCAGTGGAGAGGCTGGTGGGCCAGGGACGGGTATGTGTGCTCAGCATGGATGAGTCACCCACTCCCTGGGGAATCCATCAGAGGGATCCTTGGGGGGTGGGCAGGGAGCCCCCAGGGAGGCTCTTCCTGCCTGGACCAACTTCTTCCTGGGCCCAGGGAGCCCCAGAGAATTCCAGTAGTGTCTCCCCTGAGGGAGCAAATGGAGCCCAGATTGAGGGGGGCACATTGAAATGTACCCAGAAATAAGTCTGGCCCTTACACCTGCCCTGGGGACTCTCACGCTGTCCCTGACCCAGACTTCAGAGTGAAGGAAGGGGTTTGAACTATAGCTGCCTGACCCAGCAACCTCTTAAAGCCTTTTTATTTGGGGTGGGGGTGGGGGGAGAGGTGGGGCTCTGGGATGCTGGAGGCTCCCAGCCATGTCCAATGCCGCCTGGAGAGAGGCGGGGGCAGCCGCAGGCAGCGGTGACCCCTCCCCTTTAGGCAGGCCAGCTGGGGCCCAGCTGGGCTGCTTGTTTACAGTGGAGGCTGAAGGGGGAGGGGGGTGAGGAAGACCAGGCCAGCTCGCAGGATAATTGCACTTGGACACTTAGAAGGAATTGTGTGGAGTGGCGGCAGCAGCTCTGGGCGGCTACCACCTTATTTGGTATGGAAACTGGTTGCTTTCAAAATTAGTGAGTGGAACTTGTAAATGGGGAAATTGACACCTGCCTGCATTTCCCACCTTGTGTCCCAGCACCTGGGGAGAGATGGTTGAGTACCTG